TTTTCATATTCTCACTATCTTCTTTCCAAAACTGTTCTGTGTATTTCAGATGGCAGGAATGAGACTGCATGCCATGCTTATGTAGGAGTGATGATGGCAAACTTAATATCAGTGGAGAAGCTGTATGCACGTGTAGATACTTCAGATACCGAAAATTATACCGTTGTGGCACCTTCCTACTCTTCGTAGATGTGTAACCACCTCAACCAGTAATATTCCCCTTGTGTACGCTGCCTGTAGTATGCATGTAATCAAAGACGCCAGGTTAGAAAATATGAACAAGGATGCATCACATCTCCTAAGTGCTGAATGAAGGGAACTAACAAATTACATTCCAATAAAACAGAGTGAAGGTGTTCAATTATGAGAGGATTTTCTTGTGAAAGGGCAAGTAAGGTCTTTTGCAGAGAGGGAGGCCCGATCATCTGAGCACTGGCTTTAGGGCATGTGACAACCTTAGGGAGATGGTAGCAAGGATTTTCTTCACACTCTGAAAAAACTGGGATTTAACAGCATTTGACTCAAATGTTCTCTATAGGCCCCTTCTGTTAAGTCAGTATGAGACAAAGTATATTCAGCTAAAGAGAGCTGTATTTAAAAAGACTTAGACCTTGAATCTAGGCCCTCAGATAAGATTCAAGGCACCCCGTTTGCAAGAAAACCAGGAACTTGTCAATCAAATTAGTTTTTCTACAATAGCTGCAGAGACAATTGTTGCCCTTCCAAATGTTTCTCCTCTTCTATGTGGACTGCCATTAAAATTGGGCTGAGTGGGCAATGGACTATTCCATATTCATTTCTTATAAGGAAAATTCCTTTTAACATATGGATAATCATTTATTTGTTAGCATGCATTTGGTTACAGATTTTCCTCTAGAGCAGAGGCTTTGATGGAGTTTGAAGAGATCATTCATTCAAGCAAAATTTACTGAGTGGTTGTTATAAGCCAGGCTCTCTGCTATGTGCTGGGAATACAAACAGGAATCAAAGCAAATATGCTTCTTTCCCTAAGGATTTTATGATCTAATATGAGGGAGGCAGGGAGCTGTGATATGCAATATTAGGTTGAAAAGGTTAAAGACAAATATTTTCTAATTTTCCAATTTTACCAAATACAACCTCACTGTGTCTTGACTGCTTATGAAAATTCCAGTCAATCTTTCTTTCCATTTTCTAAACTGTGTTCCTCACTTTGTGTATAACATCAGCACTTCAGAATCCACACATATACTTAGAAATATAAAGGATAAATGATTATTTTGTTGATTGTCTTTTGATTTATTGATTTTACAGAAAGATGAGACAGAGGTAGTTGTATCAGGAACTTGATTCTGTGAGGTCCCTAATTTTCAGTTCAAAACCATTTTGCTGTACCGTGACTATATAAACCAAACACGCATTCATAGGGCAAAAAACATTGACTGTTCTTTAAAGTCTGATGAAGGCAGCTCAAACAAAATGACATAGAATTCCAGGCTTTCCAGGAGAGACTTAACTCATTCTCCCAGTTTATTCCATCACTCAATTACTAAAATTAAAAGTAATTCCATAATTTCCAGAATAAACTCCTTGCTTTTCTACCTCCATACTCTATTCATGTTTCTTTCCACCACAATCTCTGCCAGTTTCTTCTTCATATAGTGACTTCCTACTAAACCTGCACATTTTTACAAGTCCTTTCTAATATTGCCCATCAGAAATATTCTGCAGCTAATTTATTGAACTTTGTTTGCACTAATCAAATCACTCTTGTCACATTCTACCTACTAACAGAGGTATGTTGTCATTGTCTTATCTTTTTTAATAGAAGACTGAGATTCTAACACATATCTGGGGATCTTGCAGCTTCCGGCATATTCAATTCTGGGCATCATAAATATCTGACCAATAACTGAATGCATTAAATTAAATTCAGGTCATTGGGAGAAAAAGAAGACCAAATAAAAGCAATGTAATTACAAAAGTTAGCATATCTAGGGTAGGCTGACTAAAGCAGTGAATGGAGAGTCTGAAGGGATCTGTGGGGGAACCAGTTAAGAGACTTGCCAAGTTATTCTGGTGTAAGGAGATAAAAGTATACTCTGTCTGGTAGAATAGGGATAGGAAGGAAATTAGTAAGTTATAAAGGCATTTCTACCCAAGACATGGTGCATATAAGAGATAAAGAATAAGGTTTCTACTTGGAAGACTGAATATGGCTATCCCATAAACATGATGTGCAGACAGTAATTGTCAAACTTTTAGAGGTTTTTATGTTGATAGAAGGCCTGGACATTTTTTGACAATTGCACATTTTTCATTTGCTAAATGTTCCTGAAATTTTCTAGGTTACAAACACCCAGATATCTAAGTTGTGTCCCCAATTGCTCTCATGGTCTGTGCTGTTGTCTTAAAGATATCTGAAATCAAGAAGAGAAAGCAGAGTAGGAAGTTCCTAGAAACACCAATCTGGGGTGTTCCACTTAGATGGATATTGATTATTGCAGCTAACATAAGATCTTGAATAGGAGTTTTCTACAATTTATAGCATCTTAAAGCCCTTACTCCAGAGCTGGCAGAAGCAAATAATGATCCATGAGTTAAGTATCACTTTTACCTCTTTAAGGCATGCCTCCAAAAATTAAAAATAGAATTACCATATAATCCACCAATTTTATTTCTAGATATTTATCCAAAGAATATGGAAACACTAGTTTGAAAACATATATGTGCCCCTATTTTTATTGTAGCATTATTCACAATGGCCAGGACACAGATGAAACCTAATTGCCCAATGACAGATGAGTGGATAAAGAATTTCTGGTGTGGGCCTCCCCGGTGGCACCGGTTCGATCCCCGGTTGCTCCCCGGCCACCTGAGGAGGGTCCCACATGGCGTGCAGACCTCTCCTGCCGCCCGCTACTCCCCTCAGCAGTGTACTTTGGTCTTTCTGCCTGCTCTGCTCCTCACTCTGTCTCTGGTGAATTTTCTCACCCTCCCGCACTTCTGACTGTACCCAGTGCTTGTATAAATAAATAAAAATAAATCTTTAAAAAAAAAAGAATTTGTGGTGTATATACACAGTAGCATACTTCTCAGCTATAAAAAAATTCTTGTCATTTGCAACAACATGGATGGATATTGAGGTGATTATGCTAAGTGAATTAAGTCAGAAGGAGAAAGACAAATATTGGATGATCCCAGTCATAGGTGGAATATAAACAAAGAAAACAATTTAACAAAACAAAACAAAAAAAGTTCAGACTTTGAGAACAAATGTCATTATCAGAAAGGAAGGTGAAGGGAGGTGGGTGAAATGGGTCAGGGGGATTAATGTGACCTAGTGAACAGTACCAGAACTTTGGAAGTGGGTGTGGTACACTATTTACATTATAGAGATGTGAAGTTATACTTTTAAATTGTCTTTAGTATTGTAAACCAATGGTGGGTCAATTGATAAAAAAAAAATAGTTTAAAGAAAAATAAAAAAAAAGAAATATATGCAACTAATTTCATACCTGACCTCCAAAACCTTAAACAACTAGGTACTATAGAAAATAAGCTTTACCAGTATTTTTTTTTAATATTCCCAGTAACCTGGCCAAAGTTTGTTATTGTTACTGCTATTTGATGTCATTTTTCTTCCATCCCACCCAGGCTGGCATGAGGCTTTCATTAGTAATCTCTTAGAACTATATTCTCTAACTAAAACCTTGAACCTTGTATTTATAGTGGTGACCAGCTCCTCCCCTCTCACAATGCTTATAAACCATTTCAGTATTATAGCCAGGGCACTAGAAAATATTTTTGCAATAAACAACTAATTTTTCAAGATAGTTATGGTTATACATATTGGGCAGAGGATATCTTAAAATTCTAAATAAAGTACCTTATTTTAGTTATATGGCATGACTTTCCAATCACAGCAGTCACCTTTTCATAGAGGTACATCAAGATAAATAGAGCAATATCCATATTTTACAGTCTATAAAATTCAAATCTTTGCTAAAAAAAAGAGAGTTTACATGCAATGCATACACCAGCTAGCAAGTTTATTTATCAACATATATTCATGCAATATGTGCATTGTAAAGTTAGGGCATCAGTTTTAGGATCTAGGAAAATATTTACAGCCTAGCTCCAAATAGTGGTGAGCGCCTATCAAAACATTTTGTGACAGGCAGTTGTAGCTCTTGGAGGAAAGTGCTACACACAGCCAGCTCTTCAACATTGGGGGGATGCAAGTTTCATCTTCAGGGACCAAGCCTTCATTTCCTGCTCAGAGGCACTTTTCCCCCTCTAGCTGGAGCCTAGAGTTTGGGATCCTCATTATTTTACCCTACCTCTACTCTTCTACCATATTATTTTAATTGATGTGGAATTTTTATTCATATGGAGGTAAATGATAATATGTCAGATTTACTTTTTCTAGAGGTATTTTTTTTTTTTTAAGAGCAATAGAAAGCTGGGCCTCCCCTGGTGGCACAGCGGTTGAGCACTGGTTGAGCCTCTGCAGCGCCGGTTTGTTGCCCAGCCGCCGGGAAGGGTCCCACAAAAAAGAAAAAAAAAAGCAATAGGAAGCTTCAGATAAAACCATGGGAATAGAAAGCAGACTTTGAAGAATGTGCTAGGTAGATATTTTGATACTTTGAGATGGAGTTAAATGGTTACCTTGAAACTATCCAAGCAGGGCCTCCCCGGTGGCGCAGCGGTTGAGCGCTGGGTTGCGAAGCTGCCCGCAGCCTCTGCGGCGCCGGTTCGATCCCGGCTGCTCCCCGGCCACCGGAGGAGGGTCCCACATGGCGCGCAGACCTCTCCTGCCGCCCGCTGCTCCCCTCAGCAGTGTACTTAAGTCCTTCTGCCTGCTCTGCTCCCTGCTCTGGCTCTGGTGAATTCTCTCACCCTCCCGCGCTTCTGACTGTACCCAGTGCATGTATAAACAAACAAACAAACAAATAAATAAATAAATAAAACATGCCTCTATTAAAAAAAAAAAAAAAAAACTATCCAAGCACTCTTACTTCAGAGGTTGTCCAGGCTGAGGCTGTGAGATAGTTGGCAGGATACAGGAAATGGCCAGTAAACTTCATCTCTGACCAAAGGGCAAGAGCAATCCACATAACAGCAGCCAGATGTGACCACCTGTTATTGATAATACTATAATGAACACTGGAAATTTGCTAAGAGACTAGATTTCATGGGTTCTCAACACACACACACAAGCAAACACACAAATGGCAACTATGAGAGAAGTTGACTATATTAAAAACTTAACTGTAGTAATTATTTCACCATGTATGTATACATATCAATTCATATCACAAACTTATATTTAGATAATTTTACTTAAAAATATAAATTATCAATAGCAACAACAACAAAAAGAAATGCTACTGAGACTGAGTATGTAACCTTTACCTAAATGACCCCAACTAAAATAAATAAATAAATAAATAAACACAGGGAAGGTAGTGATTCTGAACGAACACTTTTCCTGGTGGGGTTTATGGAAGGCTCAGCAGGATTAGCAGGGATACAGGCTATCCATCAAACTTAAATAGATGGTTTTGGGAGTGATAACTATGTGTCCAAAGTATAGACAACTGCAATCTATAGGGCATATTGTCTTGGATTAGCCAGTCTGGTGATAGAGCCATTCTGAGCAGTTCTATGAATTTGGGAGGGACATACTGTTAACTGAGAAATAATCAGGGTATCATATAATCAAAAAAGCATTTATTCTAGAATAGGAGTGATAACCAAAGGTCAGTTCCAAGGTTTGTACCAAGGTCAGGAAACTGGGGGAGTGGGGGGTAAGGGAGGAAGGGGTGTGCTTAAAGGCTCAATCAGGAAGTGATCATAGCTTAAGGCATTTGTTTTGAAACTTTTGGATTTGTTCTTAAATTCATCTGTCTGTCCATGACTAATGGGCAAAAATCTCCCCATAGAAGGCTGCAACAGCCCCATGAGGGTCTGTTGTCACAATCAGCAAAGGGTCTCTTATTTTTTTCATGGTTACCAAATTGCTGAGTCAGGTTGTTACATTTTCACCTAAAAATTTTAAGACTGAAGTTAGAGACAACATAGAGTCTGATCAAAACAGGTTCCATAGTACAAATTCTATAAAACTCCAAGATCTCTGTTGAACCTGCAGAAATCTATTTCCAAAGAGGTCTCCTTTTCAATTATCAACCATCAAAGAGCTAGAGCCTTACTACTTAGCAATCCCTGCCAGAATCTGAGGACTAGTTTGGTGACTATTTCCTTCCAGGCCAGGCTGGTAGGCCTGCTGATTTTGCAGTGAACCCTGGGCTGAGCCAGAGCAGGAGGCTCAGGGAGTAGCAAAGGCCAGGGCACTGGGTTTAGAGTATTCTAGGCACTTGAGTGTAAAGCAGTTGAACCCATAGAGGATGCCTTTATTAATTCATACTATTATTTTCGATCAATGTACATTTCATTATATCCACTGATTTTTATTCACTTAATATTTATAATCACCTATAAGTTAAAAATTATTAATATAATTTTAAATGGAGAAATTAAATTGATGCTCAGTGTTATTAAATATTTTGCCATTGATTTCACAATCAATCAATAAAAAGCAACTGTCTTTGAGGGAATGATACAGGGCCGCAAAGGACACTAAAACTGGCCAAGGATATTGCCCAAATAGTTTACTGGTCACTGTCTGAGTTCTTCACCCACGCACACAAATGCAAGACTACTCAGGCTCAGAGAACAACAAAGGGATTTATTTAACAAACCAGGGAAAAACAAATAGTTACTGAGGTCAAAAATGGCCGTTTAAGGCCTCCCTGGTGGTGCAAGGTGTTAAGAATCACACAGTGAAACCATCTGCAGTCTCTGCAGCATGATCCCCGGCCAGGGAGCTACCCACATGGCACAGCAGACCTCTCCTGACTCTCCCACTGCTCCCCTCAACAGTGTATTTCAATCAGTCTGCCTGTTCTGTTCCCCACTGTCTCTGGTGAATCCTCTCACCCCCTGTATCTCTGGCCTGTACCCCAGCTCTTGCATGCATAAATAAATAATTTTTTTTAGAATGGCCATTTAGCTCACCCAAAACCATTTCCAGTGTTTTTCAGTCCTAAACAAAAACAGTTAAAATGGCATCTTCCCACCGCTGAGGACATAGAGCTTCTCTTCTGAACAATAGGCCACGTGTCCAAGATGGCATCCTCCTGCCACTGCAGACACAGGGCAGCCAAACTATAGGCCTGGTTCCAACTCATGAAGACAGCAAAAGACACAACAGGAGATGCTCCAGGAGCTGCCGAGATGTCTCATTACAGCACCGGACAAGTGGCACTCAAAACAGCAGCTACAGCGACCGGATAATGGCCACACTCACCCACCTCCGTAAGACGCCTGACTCCAGGTCTCCACCTTCTCTGCCAGGCCGCAACAGCAACAAAATCAGGAACAGTTTCCGTCACTTGGCTACTAGCAAAGCCGCCAAACCTTTTCTTCCAAAGCAGCAGCTACAGAGACAGATGACCCGACAAAGGCTACACTCAAGTGTCTCAGTAAGAAGCTTGACTCTGCGTCTCCCTCTTCTCTGCCAGGCAGCAACAGCAGCAAAACCGGAAACCGTTTTAGTCTCTCGGCTACATGTAAAGCCACCAGACTTTTCCTCTCTGAGGTTGGCTGCTAAAAGCCTTCACATTCAGAGGTCTACAAAAGCATTGTGAAAGATCGGCGCAGTGGGGGCCAAAATCTGCTGACCCCTCATGGTAAATCTCGAGCCCTGAATGACCCCACACCCCCTTCTACAGTCACTTATGTTTTTTTATCAGTTTTTTTTATCACTCCACCCTGATTTTTAGCATTTTCCCTGGGGCTATTTACCCTCCCCAGCAATTCCCTCCAGGGGCACCACCTGTTACAGTCTTTTGGCTTCAGCCACTGGTTACAGGGACACATATCAATACCTCTACATTAATAGTGGTCCAAAATGCAGATGAAATATTTGGTCTCCATTGTCATGAAAATAAAACGACATAAGTCACAGTCACTGCACACTTATCATTTGATAGGTATGTGCTCTGACTTTCACTTGATGTGGAAACTCTCTGATTATCTCATCCACCATGAAGTATTAGACATTGAATATAGCTTAATGAAGTCTTTCTCTCAGTCTGCTTTCCACTTTAAAAGAGATATGAGGAGAGAAATGTGTAACCTAAAAGAATAAATGACTAATTGTGCGATTTTAGGCCTTATAATAGGTAGTGCAAGAAAGCTTAAGTCAAAGGTGCTCTTACAAATCATTCTTTCCTTTCCACTTTCTACCAAGCATGCCAAAGTTGGTTTTCAGACCTCAATTTTAGTTACAGTGACCCTAAAACGAAGAGAGATCTGAAAAGAGGTTTCATAAGTATAACTTCTTGAAAAGGTTTTGTAGCAGAGTCAAATAGTCCCAATCCAATTATCACAAAGTCTAAAATTCCATTATTAGAAGTTAATTTCTTGGACTCTCCAATTAATTTTATCTCAAAATCTAAATATTCTGAAAGGTCACATACTTTTTAGATACTATCAAGTACAGTGTGATATGAATGAACTTATTGTTTATTGATTCTGAAAGTTACTTTGTGAAAAGCTGTCTCCAATAAGAATTAAAAAAAAAATCAAAAAAGAGTAATTGTTTGAGATCTTTAAAACAGAGCCCTAAGGGGAAGGCTTTAGGGATTGCTGCTGTCTGCCTGATGAATTCTGGAAGGGTGGCACACTCAGGAATGAGCGATGTAAATGAAGATGATTCTACAGGGACAGAGCTAAGCTAAGGACAGGGTTGATGGTAGACAAAGCACAGAGCCCAATGCCCTGAAACCTAGGTAGAAGTTCTAACTCTGCTGCATCTTCTTGTCTGAGCTACTTCCTAAATCTTTAAATCTTCAACTCTAAAGTGAAAAAATGGTGATGATCTCAGAATACTATGTGGATGAAATCAGAAACTATGTATGGAAGTCATGTGAGGAATATAAAGTATCATGCAAATGTTGGTAGAAATGCTTGAATGATGAGGATCAAAGTGGGTCCAGATGGTAGTGAGATTGAGAGACTTCAGTGATCTTTATTTGGTGCCACTAGCAGCAGTTTCTTAAACTGGTATCAAAAATTTTGTGCTGGACATTTTATAAGTTAACTTTCCCATGCCAGTGTGAACTCACACAAAGCCAACATCAATAGCCTGAAAATCATCAGTGCAGCCCTCTGGAAGCCTGACATGCAACATCTGGAGGCACTACAGCACCATGGCCTACGTGCTAGGTATTTATACAAGAGAACTTTAATATTTCAGGGAACTGCACTAAACTGCAGGTTAAAGTGATTGATGTTTGGAATGAATGACTTGGGAACAATAATCAGAGAAACTTAAGTAACAGAGAAGATGCCTCTTCAACCAATATAAATGTGGCTAGATTGGGTGAGGAGGCAAGAAACCAAGTAGAGTTATTCCAGAAGCTGATTCTTAGTTCAGGCTGGGAGCTATGGTAGACGCCACATCCACAGAAGAAAGGGATCACCTGAAAATGAACTTGCCAAATTTGCAGCATCATGTCCATTCCATGGACTCACAACTAACCTCAGGTGATTAAAGGATGGCCCATTTTAATTCCTGTTTTTTAAACTCTTTTTCATAATCAAAGCCAACATAACCTTGCTGCTCCTTTTTATCATAGATCCTCCTCAATTTCTGGTGACAGAGTGGCAGGTAAACTTGATGGTCAGCAGGTGAGCTGACCCCTTGACTGTCATCCCTGACTCACAGACATCAGTGCGAAGGATGTGTCATTCATGCTGGGTTGATCTGTGCCCTCAGTTGCCTTCCAATAAACACTCAGGACTCACAACTCTCAGATTTGCATCCTCTGTCCAAATTCTAATGCTATTTACTGCAAGTGCAGCCTCAGAAGGTGGGGGATTCTAGGTTTAAGTATGCCCAGATGAATACAGTAAGTGGAGCTTTCCATAAAGAATGATATTCAAGTGCCTAATAATGCTCAAAAATACAGTTTAAATTAAATTGCATTCCGTCCCCCCCACCCCCATCCCACCTTTCCTACACTCACACTCACATCTGCAGGCCAGAAAGCAGTCACACTTGAAATAGCAGCAAACGCAATTCAAGAAATAATCAAAGTTTCAGGTGTTAAGAAAGTTAGGCATACAGGGCTAATGGACTAGAAATTGTTCTATTCTGCTTAAGAGGTGGATGCCAGGGACATTTCCATAACCCTGTCTGCATCAAAGCCTCAGGTCCCCAGCATGGGATACCTGAAATACACTTTTGAAAAGGAACAAAGTTTCATTTTTTATTTATTTTGTGCTTTCATTCCACAACAAAAGATTGTATCTATTCTAAGAAAACAGGAAGGCAGCAGTGGCGAGAAGCATCACTTCCTGGAACCAAACAAAACTGAGTTCAAATCCTATCTTGGCCCCCAGAATCTCATTAAATATGAATAAATTGTAGAGTATCTAAATATCTATTTTCCCACCCATGCAAATGGGATGAAGCACATTCACCATGGTATTGATCAGGATACTGAGTCAGATAGGAAAGCACTTTGTATCTGGAGCACACCTACATTACCTACTTCACAGACAGGCACTAGAACACTAGCACTTGTGAAGACTCTGTTACCTGGGAGGTAAAGTGGGCTGCTCTAAACCAAATCCCCTGAACAAATAGGGCTTTTGTAGGAGAGGCAGTTACACCAGATAAAATCCTACAGAACAAAAAGGGAGTGATATTCCTCTACCCTAAAGTGGAAATGGTCCATTCTGGCTGAGATTGTTCACTTTTTCAGGCTTTCTGATTTACACAAAGCTAGCATCTCTTCATGACGGTGCCCACTCCAGATAAGGGGTAATGGCTGCATTGGGGCCAATGTCACCCTCTGCCCTATGGGTCTAGGTGATGGTTCTTGGGATGAAAATTAGGCCATGGGGAAATGATAGAGACCAAGGAGAACTTTTGGTTTTCCCTATTTATTCTCCAATTAGAGATGCCTTCTTCTCTTTAAGCAGACTTCCTTCCCCTGCTCTATGCCCACTGCCCAGAGTTATGCTTGCTCATAATCTCAGCTCTGTAACTTTATCTCTGGGCAGACTCTGGCAAGTTGCTTGATCTTTCTTTGCTTTTGTTTCCTTATATATAAAATAGAAAACAATTGCACTTACTTCAAGTTCTGTTGTAGTGTGAACTGAGTTGTGCTGGCCCAGCCTCAAGGTTGTATGATTAATGTTCAGTTAGACTCAGCTTTTATGATTCATACAGAATGGAGCACAATGTTGGCATGAGATAGACTACAACCTTGGGTTCTTCACCAAAGGGACCATGAACAAATTATTAACCTCACCAGTCTTTAGTTTCCTCATCTGTGAAAAAGCAATAAGAATGATATCTACCTCCTGCACAGAGAAGTTACAGTGATTAAATGAGATAATTGCATTGCTTAGCACAGAATGTAAGCATATGAAGAGTGACTACTGATTATTAGTGAACAATCTGATATTCCATGGTGAACCCAATATTTGTCTTTAGGGCAATCAGCATTTTCAAATTATGTGATCATTCTCATAAAGGCCCATAACAACAAAACATTTCAATGTCTCACTCAAATCCATCCTTTTCTGTAACCTGCTTGATCAAACAATCCTGGCATCCCAGTATCCGAACTGTGGTTGTTCCACAGTGATATATGTATGGTTCACTTGTTTGCATATAGTTTATCTCTCCTGGAAGGAAGAGATCATCAGAAATACTTCCTTTGTTTTTTTTTTCCCTTTTTTTAATCCCACAATTTGGCAGAATATTCTGCAACAAAATAGATAGCTACTTGTCCTTTAAATTCTCCCTTAGATGCCATCAATTTTCTTCTTCTATAGCTGTTTATTCTGCTACTGTTTCAGGGGCATGCTCTAAACATGATTAACAGTCCTTTTCTTTTAGTTACATGCACTGTAGTTTCTTGGTGGTACATGGAAAAGGCACATGGGAAAAGCAGACTCCTTCAGATACAAGTGTTTTTTAATCAAATAGTTGGAGCCAGAAGTTCCAAAGTTGGCTTTAGTCCCAGAACAAAGTCTAGTTCTAGTCCCCAGGGTGTGTACTTGAGCCAGAGAAGCTCAGTATGGATCTGATCGGTCTGAGTTGGTCTCTTCTTTCTGTCCCAGAATGATTGATTTCTCCACAAAATGAATGTCTGTAGAAATTAGGACACAACATCTAATATTCAGTTCAAATATAGTTGTCTCCTCTTATCTGTGGTTTCGCTTTGTAGGGTCTCACTCACAGACTACTGCAGTCCAAGAATATTATGTACTGTAAAACCTTCTGAGAGCAAAAGATGGAGGCCGTATTTAATAATATCACAGTGTTGTGTCCAGTTTCTAAATTAAGCTTTATCATAGATATATATGCCTGAGGAAAAAAACATAGTATATCTAGGATGCCATACTATCCATGATTCCAGGCATCTACTGAGGTCTTGGAATATCCCTGAAGATAAGGGGAGACTAAGGTATGATAACTACGGTACTTCACTTCTTCAAGTGAGTAGAATCATTTATGTGTGATTCTTACCTGAAACATTAGTTCCAGTAACACATGTCCTCCCATCCTCAAATTTGGAATTCTACCATCACTGTAGTCTGAAATTCTTTGTAATTTACCCTAACTGTTGCTGTCAACAACAATGATGGTTTTTGTTGGATTAACTCAAAGT